AATCGATTTCATATTATTATATAATAACATATTGTTTTATTTTATTTTACGCAAGTCAAAATGTCCAATGCGGGGCTTAAAAATGTTTTCATTCTAACATTACGCATGCAATAATAAAGTTTTAATTCAATTATTACAGTATATTGTCATTTTGATTGTGAACGTATATATATAAAAGAAAAAATTCTATATTACGATTTTTAAAAATAAAACCTCGTAATTATTTTTTTTATCTCGGATGATTTATTAGACAAGCAGCACAAAATGTTCAAAATGATTGTGTTGGATAATAACGACAAAACCATGGTGAACAACAACATAACAGCAATGATCTCCGATAAAATACGACAATATTTAACATAACTGTAGTAAATTATGATGAAATATATTCGATGTTTATAAACGAATGAAATGAAATAAAATGTATAATTTTATACTAAAATGAAAGTGTCTAGAACAAAATGTGTTTTCTATTTGACCACGCTGCCGAGACGGTTTTGTCGAAGCAACGGTTATGTTTAAGTTGACGTTTGCGTCGGTTTTTAGTGTGGTACAACTATATACACCTTCGAAACTGTTTCAAACGCTGTTCGTACTCTTAAAGCTTCAAGTGTGTACATCTATTAATGTGATGGAATATGAATCTTTGATGAGGGTGGTGATGAAGGTGGTGGGAAACGTCTGAACGATCGTTTGAAAATCGTCTTTTTGCAATGTGAAAAATCCTCTGACTGCTGGTCAAAATGGCTGTACACATTTACTAAGTCCACACCTAATCGTATAATAAATTGAGAAAACGTGACTCTTGGTCTGGTCAAATGTTTTATCAATCACCCCGTCCCCCTGGATTGACGTAAAATGTTCTATGGTCAATTTTTTAACAATGCAAGATAGCTCTTTGTAGATTAGTCTCACTACCTGGGAAATATCTTCGCAATTTCGTCTTCCGGGTATGCAGTCAACTTGTTACGATAATATTTATGTGTGTACATTTTAGCCATGAATTGTACACCAATCCGTGACTATAATCACCGCACATATCATTGTTCTATATATTTACAACCACCATGCACACATATTGGTTGTGAACATAGTCGTGCACATGGGTGGTGCTAGATGTGCCCGAGAATTCCTTAAATTGTTGTGAATGGCCCGTATTTTAACTTATATTGTTCAAATTAAATGTAATTTACTAATATAATTTTCAAATTAGTTGTTAAAAAATGAATGATATTTCATAGTAGAAAATATAATACTAAATTTTCTAAATTTGTTTGCAAAAACTTTTTATGATAATATAACAGCTAAAATTAACTAAAAAATTAAAAATCATAAATAATTGATTTCATCTAAGAAAAATATACAAGAATTAAGGAAAATATATTTATTAGGACTAATGTACTTATTTGATAATCACGGTGACGTTGTCATGGGTGCCTACCATAATGTAGATAAACAGTCCAATAATGTCAAAGTCGGCGTAGCAAACTTGTTGGCTTTATATGCAACGATTTACGACTAGAGTTGGGCAAAAACAAATTAAAATAAAGAATAAAAAATTAAAGCAGGAATAACTAATGTATTTATGAATAAAGAATAATTTTTTATTCTGAATAATTATGGTATACTGAATAAAGAATAAAATTATTTTGAATAGTTCTATTCGTGAATAAAATAATTATTCAAAATAAATGTATTCGTCAAAATTATGAATAATATTAAATATAGAAGGATATTTAATTTATTTTTGTCAATTATTATAATATCATTATATTATTATGTATTAATATGTATTACCTTTATATATATTATTTAAGTCTATTATTATTATACATCGTTATTTAGGATTTAAATTTATTATTTATATGATTATAGGGAATAACGAATAACTGAATAATGAATAAAATATAGTAAATAAAAACTCCGAATAATGAATAATGAATAATAATACAAATTAAAATAATGAATAAAAATAAAAATCAATAATAAAATTAAGAATAAATCGATGAAGAATAATTTTTTATTCAAATAATCAATCGAATAATATTTTATTCGACTAACGCCCAACTCTGTTTACAACTGTTTGCTTTGTTATAATTAATTTAGCAGTTACCTTCTACAATAAAAAATTCGTTTCATTAATTCAAATCTTTGTTTACATTGTACGCAACAGTATCGCAATATCAAATAAAAATATTTAAAGTATGTTTAATTATTTATGCACTATAATTTATTAAATATATCTAAACATTTAGTTAAGATAGGACCCAAAATTATTGTAGGCTCCCTGAAATAAAGTTTTATGTAATCCTATGACTGTGGACGATATACTATTTCCCGTTTTAACATTATCGGTATACTCGTAAGTTATCGAGCAAGGCTAACATAATAACATAAACACGATCAATCGTGATGTAAATGCATGGCTCATACAAACATATACGTCAGAATCAATCATACCCATTGTGGTTTGAAACATTTTAACATACGCATAGGATGCTGCTTTGAAAAACTCACAGGTTTTAAAAACTAATGAAAAATTTATCGAAAATATAATGGGATAAGGGTATGTATATATTATATATATATATATAAGCTTTTTCGTTCGTATTCAGTAAATGTCCAAGTTTTTTTGACAAAGACAGTAGCAGATCTGCACTGAGCCTTAACGTGTTCAAGGAAATATTTTTTCACACTCTTTTTTAAACTTTTCTACTTGATTTTCCTCTTTTATCTACAGGAATAGATAAAAATAACTGTCAAGAAGCATGGGCTGATCAAATTTGACATTTTTTTCAAAAGTGAAACTATATTATGATAATTGTTCGTAAAATATTCACTCTACAGGTATTAACGAATTTGATACACAAACTGATTGAAATAAATATTTTGTTTTTCAATTTATGTTTATAGAGGAAAATAAAGTGTAGTATTTTCTCTCCTAAGAATGAAAAGGATTTTTTTATGCTATCATATTACGATAGCGACCACAGCACATCATGGACAGAGTTAAAAAATAATAAGTCACAGTGATATTTTTATATAAACTAAAGAGTGATTTTGTGACCCTCCCGTTCTATACAGCTCTACATCATACACGTGATTATTTTATCATTTTTATAATGAGCTGCGGAAATTGTTCGTCTCGCCTCCAATATTTAGAACACGTATCAAGTTTATATCTATTGAAACGCCATTGAACATAATAATATAAACGTTCATGAATTATCGTTATATCATTGTTACAACCATTATTCGCCGTGGATTGTTTGTTTTCAAAGCGAATACTGTTTATGCGCAAATATTCATTAAAAGAGCAATATCCTATTACGGCAATTACTATTATCGTAATATATTATTATACCACGTTTTGCCGTCGTTCCCGCCGATATGCGTGATCATAAGCGACAGACGGAACGGGTGGGTAGTCGTGTTTTTATTAAGACCCGTCCGTTTCGTTTTCTGTTAACAATAATAACAACAATAATAATAATACAAATAACAATAAGAATAATACCGCAGTAAACAGCATCAGCAACGCTGTTACGCTCAAAGTTATTGCCAACGGTTTATCTTGGTCAACAAAAGTGAACCTTTCCCAAAACCATGAGAACGCGCGATCGTGTATCGTAGGGCGTTGGGAGTTCGAATTCATCACGGGTCGCCACGGATGCAAAAATGTTTTTCATTACAAATCAAAATACTCTTCTGTCCCCCCGCTAAAGGGGTTGTATGATAGCACTGTTTATCATCATCACACGATACTTTTATCTTCGTACGGACTGGTTGGAAACGTTTAATTTTGAGTTTAGCTAACTTGAGTATTCCTCGTAATCGTGTGCAAGATGCCTTGCATCGTTAAATTCAACATATCTTACGGTGGTGAACGCAACTCGATGTTGTACGCGTATATTTACTATACGTAGCTCGAAACCGATAAAAGACCTAAGATAAAAATAAGCGATTCAGCGAAGTTTTCGACTTAAAGGAAATTTACTTTGAAGAAAACGACCTAAGAACATATTGTTTGATCGTGACGAAATAATATGAACTGTTGTACGAGTCAATGAACGATTTTGAAAAAAAAATGTAATATGTGATTATAACAAAATAACGAAATGAAAAACCACGTAGATCGTATATTATATCCGTAAATGATAAGGTGATGAGATAAATATTTTCAAAAAACGGTTCCGAGCTATGTAAAAAGAACAAAAAATGTATAGGTACGTATCATTATATCATCGAATATCTACCGGGAAGAGCATGAAATTGCTTTTTTAAAGTATCCCGATTTCCGATGTCTCGAGACGCTATTGTATACACGCATTAGACGTTTGACGCACATTAACGGTCCAGTCTGACAACAACAACAAAAAAAAAAATACAAACACGAAATACTTTTGTAATATTATGTCCGTGTGCGTTCCTAAATTCACTGCGAATCGAAACGTTTGATGGACTTTTAATGTTCGAGCCACTTAATCCACAACAGAACCATACGCGCGGATATCGCGTCGGTTGTTTTTCGATTTCGATAAGTTTCTAGTCGTGTTGGTACGTCGCGCTAGAGATCGATTTAGCGGACCAGGGGCACGCGGCGTGCACCGAAATACGTTAATCGACACGTAACACGTTATGATTTCTGATCGTCGACCGAATTACGTCGAGCGCGTTAATAAATAACATAATTCATTCTGTCCGACCGACGGCGAGGAGGTAGGTCCATTGTCTTTTTTGGATAATGCGTGCACGTCATTTTTACCGAACCGTATTATGTGCACCGGATGATTGTGCATTACCGTTGTTATTATTTATCCGCGTGATTGTTTATGCACACGCTTCCGCTTCCGAAACTTTACAGAATTATACGATTCCGTACGATTTTAATTTATGAATAAAATATACTATATAAATATATAATGAATATATAATATATACATTATTATAATACTTGTATACTTATGTGTGTACATATTTGGGTGTTTACAGATTTTTTATTTTTTTTTTTTTGTTTTTACGCAAGGGTTTTTGTACAAAACTTACCATGATAAGAGGAGAGAAAAAATATTTACGTTTTTATTCCACGATTCGAGTATCTTGAGCGTTTTCTTAGTATACGTTTTTACGGCGTCACACACACATACACACACACTAGCGCAAAACGGAATCATGTGAGACAGACGGACGCGTACCCGACCACGACTGTTACTGTACGTACGAATACGAACGCGCGCGGATGACGTACAAGTTGTGCGTGTGTAAGTATACCAAATAAAAAAAAATAAGTAAATAAATAATAAAACCGTAGGCGGAAGACGATGGACGACGACGATGCGCTAGAGTAACGGTTGTTATAATATTATTATGTCACGTTATTGTTACGAGACCGTTATGGAGACGAAAACAAAATAATGAAGTGGCGGCGAACGACCGGTGATGTATATGTTTTTATACATACTTATACACGTACATGCACATTTATATAATATATATTTGTGTGTGTGTGCGTGTGTGTGTTTGTGCGCATGTACGGTGAAACGGCCGAGACGAACTGCTGCCGAAATGGGGGACGGGGGGTGCTGTCGGTTTGAGGCCCGGAGTTATGGGTATTTTTTGGGCGCTCAGCTGAAGCCTTGCGGCGTGCGCTCCACCCGCCACCGGTGTTCGGATACGGTGGTGAGATTCTCTGAGGTAGGAGGAGGGTGGGTCGACGAGAAGCGGAGAACAATAACAATACGACAACAAACAGTTGTGCATACATAGCTCAACAGTAGTAGTAGTAAAATTAGCAGTAGTAGTGGTGGTACTAGTGGTAATAGTAGTAGTAGTAGTAGAGTAGTAGAGTAGTAGGGGTAGTAGTAGTAGTAGTTGTGGTGGTGCGTGCGCAGACCCGTCTCGTAAATTACGTCGGGAACGCGGTGGTGGCTGCGGCGGCGTTGGCGGTCGCCGCAACGACGACGGCGGCGACGGCGACGACGGCGACGGTGCTAATAAATTCTTTTCCACATCCCGCGGTCACGGGTTCAGATTTGACTGCCACACTCACTGAAAACAAAACAATTAATGTAACGTGTCGGAGAGCTCGAAAGCGTCTGTGTACACGGTAGATAAGTAAATATATGGATTCACTCACCCACGCGCACACGCACACACACACACACACACACACACACGCACACGCGCACACACACACACACACACGCACACGCACACGCACAAAAACCACACACGAATAAACACACAAACACGTGATATTCACATCGAGTATAGATTGGATATTTGTATGTTGTGCGCATACTGTAAAATTATACTATCCTATACGCGTATACTCTGTATAAATATAGTATAAATCAATATATTGCCGAGTAAATAAACGTATACACGACAGTTTTGTTGCTCGCACACAAATTGTACGACATTTGTTCGCGCACCGACTTGTTCATTGGCGGCTCCAGGGACGGACCGGGTAGGGCCATGGCTCTACCTGAAAATGCCTGGCCCTACCAGTGACCTAACCACTGACCTGATCTTAGACATAATAATATAGTCATTTTTCATAAGCAGAAAATATTAAATATTGGTATTTGTGTTTTGTTCACTGTATGTAATTTAACAATATAAGAAGTTATTAATATTTAAATATTAAGAAAAATTGATTTTAAATTTTTTTATTTACTATTGGTATTTGATGTTATTCTGTCTTAAACACAAATACTGAGTAAATACTTACAACATGTAAGTATCTGGTATGGACTAATAGTATTATATTAGTGAATTCTATAAAAAAATAATTTTTGGAATTGAGAAATCCTGAAGAACACAAATTATTTTATAACGAAGCAACATTTCCGAAAATTGTAATGTGATATATTCATCTAAAAAGTTAAACAAAGAAGAATAAAAAAATACCAAAAGAATTGGAAAAATTTGTATATGAAAATAGCACTATGGAAAAACAAGTGCCAATAGAAGAAAACGAATTTAGATCGGAAATATTCTATTGTATTTTGAACAAAATAACAAATAAGTTAGATAAGAGATTCGGTAATAATTCTGATAAAATATGTGGGATAAGTGCTCTTAATCTATAATCAATTTTTAATATATGACACGATACTCTTTTTTGCAAAAGCTTATTTAGGTGACTTAGAATAAGAAAATCTAAAATCAGAATTAAAAATATTACAAAAGTCCATGAACCGTTATGAAACAAAAAATATTTTTAAAATTAAAGATTTTTTCCAATTTCATAAATTTCTTAAGGAATATGAAGTAGAATTTTCAAAAACATATAAATTATGCTCCATTGCTATAACAATACACGTGATATCAGCTGCATGTGAACGTACATTTTAATGTATAATACGCGTAAAGAGTTACTTAAGAAATAGTTTATTAGACCTTACAAGTTTAAGCATCATATCTATTAAAAAACGTGAAGCTAAGTCACTAGACATTGATGAAATAATAAGTAAGTTTGTAGATGCACATAGCAATCATATAATTATTTTAAAGTAGTTTTGTTATAATGTTATAATAATTTAAAGTTTTTAAATATAGTAATTAGATCATTTTAATTGTTTTTTTTTATATTTATTATTTTTTGTTGAAATCTCATTTTTGGTAGCCTTACCTTATAATTATTGGCCTATTGTTCGCCCTACCTAGCAAAAAATCCTGGCACCACCACTGAATTTGTTGCAATCAAAATAATCAGTAATCATTCAAAATCATTCATTAAATCATTCATGAATATTCGAATAATATAAATTGTAATTAAAAACGGGTATATTTTCATTTGATCGAATAATAATATTGATATAGGTTTTTTTGCACTATTGTAATTGAAAAACTTTTTGCTATACTACGAAAAAATTAAAATGTTGCGCGAATGGTATAATCTGCTAATATTGTTATTAAATTTATTCTCACTTTTACTTTCGTAAATTTTTATTTGACGATGTTTCTCTCAAAAACGTTAATATTCCGCTGAATTTTTAAACTATTATTATTGTCTTTGTTTTAAAACAATAGAATAGCTGTTTAAATTAATGGGTTTTTTGACGAATTAACAGTTGATAAGAAAGTGTTTTATTATCCGCTTTATTTCGAAATAAAATCACATAAACTCTACAGATATGCGTGTAAAAATATTATGTAATTTAAAAATTTGGAAAAAAATAAAAATAAAAATTTCATAAATGAAAATTGTTGTGCGAGATACGTCTTCGTTTACGAACAATTTACTCGTAGATAAATATCGCGTGAACTATTTTTCGCGAAATATTGATGTACATCCAATAGAATCGCATGGTATTATTATAAAACACATTTTCTCCCGAGAGCCGATAGCTCGATGCATATCACTCATAAGCCAATAAACCTCACCAATAGTCGTCGAACTCGCCTTCTCATAGTCTCATATTACAATATCAATTTTACAACTTTATTGTTTCGCGTTCACTGAAATTTCGAATATCGTTTTACGGTTACCTTGCATATTTTTATATGCATACGTAACAGGTATAAGGTAAGGTAAGGCTGACATTTTAGAACATATTAAAAGTTGATCGCAAAATAATTTTAGTAGTCAATATCATATTGATATTAAAATATTAATTGCATAATGTTATATTGTCCGACTATAATAATAACAACACTAAAAACAAAAACGAAAATAAATCATAATTAATCATTATATTTATTTATTTGTTTAACTTTACTAATTTTATCTATACTTTTTTCATGTTGAATATGTCATATGCAAATAATTAACAATAATACTATCTGACAATGAGTGAATCGATCTACACGTTATATAAGAGGCAGAAGTGGTTTCTAAGATGACAAATCGTTTCGTAAACACACACACACACACACACACACACACACACACATACATATATATAAAAATGCACTCATACATTATGACCGCCTCTGTAATTCTCGTTGAAGACGAATAATCTTGGTTAGGTAAGTATTGCGTGTAGGTGTGATATTTTTGGGGTATGTGTGTGCGTGCGCACGCGCGTGTTTTTTACGGATATTGTATGCACGATAAAAATATTATTCCAACCCTAGCCGTATTTTCGTTGCTATACATATACATGTATGATTCTATATTCACATCATCATACTTTAGAAGTATTCCTTTCTAAAGCGCATCTTTAAGTTGGCGACCATATACGTCCGTGATGACTTTGAACATTATCACACGTTATGTTGTATTATCACATCGAAATATCACTGTATTTTACACACGCCAAACACAGCATTCTTACGGTCTCGAGTACGCTGAACAGGTTCATATAACGCGGAAAATCGTTTTCAGGAAATCATTATCGTGTCCTTATGGCTGCCAGTCGGCAATAATATGATATAATCTACGAGCTTCGTAATTCTATCTCCAAATGGATAGACGATAGACATTATTCACCGAACGTTTGATTTTTTACATATAACGGTGCATGAATTAGACGAACCGTTTTATATATTATTATACATTCCTGTACATTATTTACGGAACGAAGGTGGTGTTTGTACAGTTATGCAGCTAACGATGTTCAACACAAAGAGTCTCCGAGTCGTTAAAAACGCTCAAGTTAGTCGTACTCCTTTCCATTTCATCAACCATGCCTGTCGTAGGACGTGCTCGTCGCCTTCCCACTGTCTAATATTTCACACACACACACACGCGCGCGCGCTCATATTAGGTTGTACAATATTAACACACCATTACGTCTGTGTTTACAAATTGCGACGGTTGTCAAACGTACCGGCTAACTCTTATCTCAATTATTTCACTTTGCACTGAACCCGAGCGCACGTATTATCATAATAATATTTCTACAAGTATTCGACAATAGGGTCAACTATTAAATATGCACGCGCCCCGTGGGGCATATAACGACGTAATTGTTTTTTGCCCGTAAATAATATCACAATGTCGCTATAATATTTGTGTGCGTCGGTCACCAGTACGTTTGCTCTGCAATATTGCTCGGCGTGTACATTGTAAACAGTAACAAATAGTCACTATGTAAAATCGTGAATGAATATTTTAGTCACGTACGTTATTATTGTCTACTTTATGGTATAATATTATGTATAAAATAATGTAGTAGATGAAATAATAATGGAATAGTTATAACAAATTATAACTATTAAACTAGACATCTCAAAATGCTGTAATGACAGTTTTAGGAGAAATATTAGTTCATCGTTATTATACAAACCGAGAAGTATAATAATTACTATAACAGAGCAAATATAAATAAATAACATAAAAACAATATCATAAATGTAAATTAGCATGTAAGCACTTTTAAGTACTTTAAGTTTGATGATATAAAATAAGAGAAATTTGTAATACAGAAGACTATTATGGTGACCGTGTGATTTGGTCATGGTAGTGAGCCAACGTTTTTCTAAGTGTCACTTTTATTTATTTTTGTATGTACGTATATACGTTTGTTTCAATCGACGTATACGACAATGGAGTGCAGAAGTGGTTTATAGACCCTGTACCGCTAATGCTGTATTGGCGGCTCGCAATATTTCAAAAGAAAAAAAAAATTAAATAATGACTACAAAAAGCCTTAAAAAGTGGTTCGCAACTGGAACAGTTGAGACATGGGCCGAGAATACAATGAGCACAACGTACCATGTTTAAATAAAGCTGGAACTCCACTGGTTTATAGTGATATTTAAAGTCTTTTATATATTTAGTAAAGATGGGCATATTCGAGTTACTCGATTGTTCAGAATAATTGAGATAACTAAATTATTAAAATAATAATCAATCATGTAACAAAGTGATTTTTCGCTCGAACTACAGTAACTTAAGTACTCGTCACTCGATTCCTCGAGTAGGTACTTTATTCAAAATATTATTTTTAGAATATAATGTGTAGAACTTCGAATAACGTAAATAATTGAATATATAATATTATTATTATTAGTTATTAGCTTATTACTTATTGTTTAGAATATTTTAATTATCTCTTAAAAACCAAGATTACATGATATTTATTTATTTATTTATT